ATTGTATCTATTTATTTATCTGTTGTATTTTATTTATTTATCTGTTGTATTTTATTTATTTATTTACCTGTTGTGTTTTATTTATTTATTTATCTGTTGTATTTTATTTGTTTATTTATCTGTTTTTTTTTTATTTATTTATCTGTTCTATTTTATTTATTTATTTATCTGTTCTATTTTATTTATTTATTTATCTGTTTTATTTTATTTATTCATTTATCTATCTAACCTACTTTATCCGTTCACTCATTTTCGTTTTATTTTGCATCTGAATTTTCTGCCTATTTATCTTATTTTCTATTGTAATTCTTTTATTTTTCTCTTTTTATTATATGAAATGACAATTAAGGATGATTATGCTATAATTACAGGTATTTGTTCTTCATTTTGCACGTGTCTAAATTGCCCCCCCCCCCCCCCCCAAAAAAAAAAAAAAAAAAAAAAAAAAAAAAGTGAGAAACGAAAGAAAATCTTTTTTTTTTCTTTCGTCGAAAATGGTAATTGCAAGCAAGATTGTTGGATAATTGTGCCATAATTTCATCTCCACATCGTTTATGCTTCTATTCATGTATTTTATCGGTAGTGTTTTTTTTTCCTTTCTTTTTCTTTTCTTTTCATTATTTTCTTCCGCGAAAAATATATGACAAATGGGGATAGAGGTTCATGAATGGTAACTGAGACTCAGGATCGATAATAAGTGCTTAGTGAGTCCATTTTCGCGTCATGATATGCAAAAAAAACACACACACACACTTTATATATGTGTGTACACACGCATACATACACACACACACACACACACACACACATATATATATATATATATATATATATATATATATATATATATATATATATATATATATATATATATATGCATATATATATATGTGTATATATATATATATATATATATATATATATATATATATATATATATATATATATATATATATATATATATATGAAACAGACAAAAAATGTATACATGTCATGGGAACAATAACATAGGAGAGTGAATTAAATATATAATTATTAGCACATGATCATAATAAAATTTAATTTCTACTTTATATTTATTCTTAATAAGTATAAAAAACAACAACTCCATACTAATTTTCACAAAAGTATACGTATTGTAAGGGGGAAAATATACTAGTCTTCCCTGACATATATATCATTCACATACTAAGCGACACAGTATTTATGATGGAAAAAAAAAGAAATAAGAAAAGGAAACAGAAGGAAAGGAAGATGAAGAAAAGGAAAAAGAAGAAGAGGAAAAACAAGAAGAATAAAAAGGGGAAAAAATAAAATAAAAGGATGAGAAGGATGATCTAGAAGACGAAGAAGAAGAAGAAGAAGAAGAAGAAGAAAGAGGGAATAAAGGATTTAAAAGGAAAACGAAAAGGAAATAAAGTAAGGTGAAGAAGAGGAGGAAGAGGAAGAAAAAGAAGAAATAAATCCGACCTGTTTTTAGTTTTCCGTTGTTGTTGTTTTTATCGTGATAGTAGAGACTTAATATGTGTTCTTATTACATATGTTAATAAATGTTTTGGTATTGTTACTTTTTATAATCACTATTTTTGCTGTTATTTCATTGTTATTCTGTTCTTTATATTGCTGTTATAGTTACTGCAATATTATTTGTACTGTTAATTTTATTATTATCATCATTACAGTTGGCATTATTGTCGTTAATGATAATAATAAAAATAATATTGTTATTATTATTATTACTATTATTGTCATCATTATTATTATCCTTATTATTATTATTATCGTCATCATCATTATTATTACCCTTATGATCATGATTATCATTATAGTTTTTATTATTATCATTATCATTATTAGTAGTTGTAGTTGTAGTAGTAGTAGCAGTATCATTATTATTACTGTTAATGTTCTTTTGTTGTTGTTGTTGCTGTTGTTATTATCATTATTATAATTATTATTATTATTATTATTATTATTATTATTATTACTTTTATTACTATTACTCTCATTATTATTATCATCATTATCATTGTCATTATTTTTGTTATTGTTGTTGCTCTTGTTATCATTATCATTATAACATTTAGTATCATCATTGTCATCATCATCAACATTATCCTGATTAACATTATCACTTCTTTTACCATTCTTGACTCAATCTTTGCAATATATGTTGTCCTTGTTGCCATCATCATCACCCGTATCTTCTCAACAGCGAATATTTATTTATCTCAAACAATAAATAACCAATAGAGAAGAATTACTGATGTCAGATCTTTGATGTTAACTTCTTGACCCCCCCCCCCAAAAAAAAATAAATAAAAAAAAAAAAAAAAAAAATAAATAAATAAAATAAATATATATATATATATATATATATATATATATATATATATATATATATATATATATATATATATATATATGACACAAACACATTAACGTGAACACAAAAATTAAAGGAAAACAGCCACAGTAAGAAACGAAATTGAAATGTAAC